TAATTAATTATGTGATCATACTATAATGTAATATTATAATGAATTAAGTAATCATACTATAAATCTTTAATGTAATATTATAATCAATTAAGTAATTATTTAATATAATGCAATATTATAATTGATTAATTAATTATTTAACTAGTAATGTATTAATGTTTATCAATTTATTTTATATAATTAATTAATAATTTATTACAAATATACTTAGGACTTGATAATTGAAGTAAATGACTAAATATCATATTATTATTCAATCAAATATACTATTCTATTCAAAAATAATTATTTTAATAACATTAAAATACTTTTAATTGGTTTTAATTCCAATCATACACTTAATTAATCAAAAATTTAATATTAATATATTATAATATATTAAAGTTTTTTATATGGTGTAGTTTATATATAATAAGTATAATTATATATTTATTTAATTAGATTATTGTAAAAATTTAACTTTTTCTATTTAAATTTTTTATATGTAAATTTACAATAGACTCTCATTCTTCATAGATATTTCACTTCAGTCCAGGTTCCAAAACAGGGTACCCACTGTAGGTTCCAAGGCGAGTGCCCGTTGCAAGTTCTTTTTTCCAAGTTCCGGTTCCGGTTCCTACATGTGGAGAACTGGAATCGAAACCGTACAGTAGGAATCGAAACTGGAATCGTACAGTGTCGATTCTAAAAAAAGTGAATTGGAATCTATTAGTACAGTGTCGGTTCTGGTTCTACCCGCTATCCCTGCTCACCCCTAAAAGATGTGTGCAGAGATAATCGAAATATTATTTTTTTTTCTTATGTAATACCAGGGAAACCCTTGTTAGCTTCTTAAATCTCACTGTTTTTAATCTATGCTGACTTGGCAGGCCTTTTTCTCTCCCCTGGCTGACGTGGCGGCCTTTATTAATTAATTATTCTTCAAGCTCTTCATGGACTCCTCTTCTGCCTCTATATTTTGGTATGACGGGCCTATTAAAGCTTTTGAAACAAAAATGGGTTTATCTACATCAGGCCTTTTACTTAGTTTGTGGCCCAAATTCAGCCCATAGGAAAGCCCACAAAGTGGGTTCAATGGGTACAACCCATCATTTTCATAACGTTTAGATTTAGTGTCATAAGTTAATAATTTTTCAACAATATATAAACTTGTAAAAAGATATCGTAAATTATAATGTGAAATGTAAAATTTATAATATTGAATATCAAATCTATAATGACGATAATTATAATATTAACCACCAAATATAACATGGATGTAAATACCATTCACTTATATATTCATCTAATAACATTTTATCGCATATATTGTTTATAATTCCTTTGCCTATTCGCCTTATAAACAATATAAGGAAAAAAAAAAAAAAAAATATAAGGAAAAAAAAAAAAAAAAAAAAAAACAGAAGTTCCTTGCAACGATTGTACATACAACCATGAATCTTGAGACGTTTTGTCAACACATATAACATACACTGATCTATTAGTAAGTACTATAATATTATTGAATAAACGACCACAAATATAGTATGCTTGTCTAACAATAAACTTTCTCATCAATATTAGTATTACAAATAGTGAAAATACTATAGTATAAGCAACATTATATATAGGCCGAATGACGTGTTCCTACCTGAAGTTTGCCCTAATGAAAATTTAGGGTCCAAAAAGTTTGAAAACGACAATTATCCATCCATTGTTAATATCTGTACAACAATTACCCACCTGCCCTTAAGATCTGTTAATAAAATTTGTTATCTGACCTGGTAGAGTAATTGTGAAGACAAAAATACCCTTTCGTCTTTGAATTCAAATCAAAGATCCTATTTTGACTAAATCATGCATGGCTAGGCGCGCACTACGCACTTTTCGCGTGCGTGGTGAAGGGAGATGGTTTGGCTCAGTGTGTGGGCTAGTAGGGGCGTTTTATCAAACAGTAGTGGGGCAAATTGTAGTGGTGGTTGTGGTCGGCGAAGGGTGAGGGTGGAGGTCGCTAACAACAAGGGGTGGTTGTGGGTTGTCTTAAAAACAAATCCAACACTCCAAATCAACAACAATCAACCTCCAATCTCAACTACAAATAAAAATCCAATCTCCAATCTCAACTCAAAACAACCAACCAAATCAAACCTCAAAGAAGCCAGCTTGAGCGACAACTAGAGCAGTGGAGGGCGCGCGACATAGTCACGGTGAGGCAACGAGCAACCGGTGCATGTTGTGGAGTTCATCGGTTGGGGTGGGGGAGATGAGAAGAAGATGGTTTTTCTTGTATGTATTGGGTGTAAAATGACATAATTACCCTTTCATTGTTTTTTTAATTTACCATCTTAGTATTGATGTTTATCATTGAAAATTAGCATGTTTTAGTAATTATGTATATTTTAAAAAGTACTTTTTCCAAAAGAACTTCCCAGAAGTTATGTTGAAGATTTTGCCTGCTTACACTCTACAGCTTCCAGTCTGAAACTCGGTGGCTAGGCCTAGGCACCTTTTTTTTTAATTGTTCTAGCTGTCACTTTCGTTTTCTCCGAAAGTACTTTTCTTCTCCAAAACACTCAGAAACTGCAGAGAGTAATGGTAGGCAACACACACAACAACAAAAACAAGAGATCGCGTGGCTTCTGCAAACACCAAAGCATGGCTATGATGGCATTGTAATTTCATTTACTCTCTCTTTCAGCAGAGTCTTTTTTGTTTTGTGGTTTCTTTGATATGGATGATGAAAAGTTTGATTCTTTACAGTTCTATTGTTGACGGGTTGCAACGGTGACAATAAAAGTTTAGATTAATAGTAAAGATTATATATGTACAACGGTGACAACAAAAAAATTTCTGAAAACCTTGTTGTATTGATAAATTTGATCGAAATTTTGTCTCTTAATAGTTGGTGTTGAATTGAAACATTAGTAGCTATTTACCTAAACCATTGTTATACTTGTTATGGAAATCATAAATAATATCGTAATAATTAATGTCATGTTGTTGTATCAAATCCCATTCCCATGGAGAGATTCAAGTGACTATGTAATCGTTCAGAATATATATTGTGAGATTTGTTATTGATTTTAAGAGATTCTTGACAAGGAGGAAACGTCCATGAGTTGTTGAAATCATTGTTTTAAAACCCGGACCGGAGGGCAAACCGTTTTGTTGTCCGGTTCACGGGTCAACTGGTCCAACCGGTTGGACCGGCCGGTTGGACCGATGACGTCAGCAATATTTTATTTTTAAAAAATTATATATTAACCACTTATATTTCAATATATTACAAAATTCCCCAAAAAAAGTTCAAATTGGTCCCTACAATTTTTATTTATTCCAAAAATGCCCCAATAAAATTACTAATTAATCTTTAAACTTTTGATATATATCCAAAATACCCCTATAAAATTACAAAGTAACCCTCATAATTTTAAAATATTTCAAAAACCCCCCTGAGACCTAAACCGGACCGGAGAAGCTGCCGGTTCCCGGTCCAACCGGTTCGACCGGCCGGTCCGGTCCGGTTTTTAAAACAGTGGTTGAAATGGGTTTTTCAAAATTCAATCCATCCATCAGTCAAAGCTTTTTCTAAACCTAAAGGCTAAAGCCCCCTAAGTGACTAGTAGTTTCACTTTATACCATTCATTTACAATAGAATAAAAATAGGTTGTCAAACATTTTTTATAATTTTCTCACACAAACGCTGACATGGCAGTTCGCAATTAGTCAGTTTGCATTTGATCAGACATGACCTATTATGAATTGACAAATCATATTTGTAAAAGAAAGTTAGTGAGAATTGTTTATGAGTGTAGTATTACAGTTTACAATATTGAGCTAACAGTATCTTCAACTAGATCATAACCTAAAATTTTAGACAACAATAAACATCATTCATATGATAATCACACTACCCTAGTAATCCATGAATAATTAATAGCGATGATACTTTTGCATTGGATCAGTTGTTTTTGCTAGTGTTCATGTATGTCGGATCCAGACACATGGTAAGTGGGTTCCTAAAGGTGTTATCCGCTTTGGGCTCTGAGGCCTACACGATTTCTGTGAGAATTTGGCACCAATATAGTCTCTCGGGGGGGGGTGGGGGGGCCGCCTGGGGGCCTTGGCAGTGGTCTAGGCCCTCCTTCTAAGGTCAATTGTTGACATATGATGGGTCTAGACACGTGGTAGATGAATTCCTAAAAGTATTGTCTGTTTTAGACCTTGAGACCCATATGGTTTTATCTTGAAAAGGCACCTTTGAGTGGTAAGGGTGTCCTTGTGCTATATAAGAGACCAAAACCCTCATCTCCTAACCGATGTGAAACTTTGACACCAACATTGTGTTCCATTTATAATATTAGAGTAACATTGCTAACATTCAATGGATTAGGATCCAACGATCCATATGATATGAGGAACAACGTTATTCATCTAATAATAAAATTATCGTAATAGTTCACTAATTTTTACATACAATATTAGGGTAATAGTAACACTAGACCAAGATCCAATTAATGGTCCCGTGGTAGAATAACGTTGTTAATTATCTAATAGTAGTAGTATAATGGTATTATGATATCATTTCATTAGTATTTAAATAATATTAACTTATTATCACAAACATTAGTTCATTATCTACACGTCAATGCCACACAAAATATGGCGTTGCTTTTATACACGGAATAATATCATACCACTCAATATATACATCAAATATTTTTATTTCAATGACTATATAATTATCATATTATTTATATATAGGATAGAATCTTTTAACTTAAAATTTTTACTTAAATTTTTATACAAATCTTCAATCGTGAATTCAATACAATCTAATAGTAATCATCAACACATAGTGAATGTACGTAATATATATTTACCCATTATTTACTTTAAAAAAGAAAAAAGAAAAAATAGGGGATCAAAAGCCTTTTAGGAAAACTGAAGGAGGAGATCGAAGTCATTAAATATAGTGGCAGGTGTCTCTGTGGAGTTATAAATTTGGCTGGTGAAGTGAAATTAATATGAAAATCAAACAAACCTAATAAACAAAGACAAGAAGAAGAAGAAGAAGAAGAAAAAAGAGTAATGGAAAAATCAGAAGAAGAGAAGAGAAGAGGAGAAGATACATATTATTTGTACAGCCCTTGTTCTCTCTTTCAACAACTTATCAAAGCTTGCTTCAAGTGCTTGGGTCGTGAAGAAGGTGATGATAAACACTCCACAACTCCTCCAGCCCATCCAAATTCTCCTTCAGGAACAGAAGGAGAAAAAGAAACGAAAAGAACTGTATGTATAATCTCTCTCTCTATTTCACATATAATATAAACGAAATCTTAGGTCTAACAGACGTATCATTCATGACTTATGTATTTACTTTCTCTTTTCTTGCTTAATGGTCTCTTTTATTAAGCAAGAAAAGAGAAACATGCTTATGTTTTCTCTTTTATTAAATAGATACATGAATGATCTGATACTTATGTTCGTTTCAAAGAAGACTTCCTCTACGTTGAAACATGCTTTGAGATCTAATTAATTTGCTTAGTTAATGTATATGAAATGCAGGAGGAAGAGATTGGGGTGGAGCCCAGGGCAATAACAGTCCCACAAAGGCCACCAAGGCCACCAATAGACCCTGGAAGTGGTGGTCAAATCAACTGATCATAGTAATCTTCCTGGGTAAATAGTAATATTTACTGTGTTTAAAGACTTCTAAGACTCTCAAATTTTGTGAGTTTTATAGTTTAATTAGTACTGTTAGTTAATTAATTTGTTGAACTCTTCTTGGATGGTGTATATATATATAATATCAACCATCTCCTGTGTGCATGCTAGAACTAGTAATAAATGGTGAGTTTGGGACATTCTGGTGTCTAGGTAAGTTTAATAATTAATAATAAATAAGCCATTGACCTTTATTAATTTTTCATAATAAGCTTATAATAACAAATGATAGACTTGTGCTAAAGGCAAGTGAATTCCAGATTATTCTTAGACAAGGAAGAAATGTCCATGAGTTGTTGGTTGGGTTGTCCAATCCATCAGTCAACCATTGTCTCAGGCAAACACCCTGTGAAATTCAGTTTTGTAAATGATTTGTTTTTTAAGATGGGATTTGTCAAATTATCCATCTTAAAAGTTTATCAAATCTTTGATAACTATAATATAAATCCAAAAAGAATAAAGTCTATAAGATTTATTTACGCACACCTCAATTAATTTTTTAAAAAAAGTTATATATCCTACAACAACTTATCATCATGACCTATGTAAATTAGAGGCAAAGGTAATATCTTTGTGCCAAACAAAAAATCAAACCCGAGATAATAGATTGAAATCATACACAATTTTTTTAATTTGCCGTTACCGTTGGGTTACCATAGGTGAGTTTAAAACCGAATTTTTCATCTGATTAATGTGATATCCTTTATAATATTAATGAATATATATTACTATGTATCTTAACATATGAATCATTATTATATGTTTATGTCATATAAAATAGCATGTCATCATATACTATATGATACCCATATTATTTATATATGTCACATAAGTGCACATTCATATTACATAATGAAACTATTCAAAATCATTAAACCCAAGATGTGCATTAATTTTCACCTATAAAAAGGAAGGAAAGAAAACAAACTAAAGGGCTCCAAAGAGAAATATCATTAAATATATAGTGTGTCAGGTGTCTCTCTGTGAATCATAGGAGATATAAAGTCGCAGGTAAACTGTGAAAACTGGAACCGAACCAAACAAACACAAAGCGAAAGAGAAAAAAATAGAAGAAGAAGGGAAATGGAAGCTTCAACGGAAGAGCAGAAAAGAGGAGAAGAAACATATAATTTTTACAGCCCTTGTCATCTCTTTAACCAGCTAGTCAATGCTTGCTTCAAGTGCTTTGGTCGTCTAGACGATGAAGATGATCACTCCACAACTCTTCTTGCTCACACAAACTCTCCTTTACTGTCAGAAAGAGCAATGAAAACAACTGTACGTATACATCTCTCTTTCACTCACTCACTTCGTTAGTATAAACAATCTCAGGTAGAACAGACGTAATACGTCAATCATGTTAAAAACATCCCCTCTATTTCAAAATAAATTGTTCATTTTTTTTTTATGTTTAATTATTAAAATGAGTGTGTTAATGATCTGATACGTCTGTTTCACCGAATATTTTCTCTGCGCTGATTTACATTTCCAGATTTAATGTGATTAATTAATGTAAAGCTGATTGATGCATATAAAATGCAGGAGGAAGAGTTTGTGGTGGAGTCGAGGGCAGTAAGAGTGAAAAAGAGACCACAGAGGCCACCGGTAGGCTCTGGAGGAGGAGGTCAAACCAACTGATCCTCTCTTGGTCATCCTAAGTTAAATTTACTAATAATAATAATATTTACAGACTCTTAATTAGCTAGAACTTTTCTGGATGTTTTATGTAAATATTATGTGAAATTAAGATTTAAGAGTGATAGAGGCAATTAAACTGAGGCTTTTGTGGGGGCGGTGGAAAGCTAATAGTGGGGGGTAAGTTGTCGTGATTCAATTGTTGTATTTCCTTCTTATCTGTCTCTCTAATCGAGCCCTTTTCTCTTTTCAATCTGTTCAATAAATGTGCCTTTTGCTACATTCAATAGTCTCTCTCTCTCTCTCTTCCATGTGCAACCCACTTAATTGCATACATGAAACAGTTGATATGATAAATATGTCGGGGTAATGGTACAGTGCTTTAGCGTGCTTACTCATGCTACAGTGTCCGCACTGTATCGTAGGACGAGTAATTATCAATGAAGTCTCTGGTGAGACAAGTCACCAAGTGTATCACTGTGTTGTGATACTGGTTGTGCTTTTAGTAATATTCTATAATTACATGGACGATCACGAAGGGTACTATGATAGTTACTTGTACAACCAATCAATCATAACATAAAAATATAATGGACGTGTGTGGAGTCGTATGACTTTAAGATACATAAGGTCGAACCAGATCTTTCCATCCAAAGTTTGCCGACAATTTATTAGCCAAAAAGTTCAAAAAACGACAATTATCTAACGGCCATTAATTATGTCCGGAGTAATGCTATACTTATACTATTTTTTTTACACCATTTTATAAACATCATGATGTGTCATATGTTACAACCACATAAATTCTATTATAATATTAAAAATTCAAAATAATTAAAAATTTATGTGGTTGTAACATATGCCACATCATGATGTAATGAAAATTGTGTAAAAGAGTGATGTAAGTGTAACATTACTCTTATGTCCGTTAACTTTAATGAAAGAAAGATAAGATGGTAAATACAAAAACAATCAAAGGATAATTATGTCATTTTATGCCCTGTATATATAACAAAAACCATCTTCTTCTCATCTCCCCCTCCCCCTCCCCCTCCACCTTTCTTCTTGATCTTTTTCTTCTTAATCTCCCCCTCCTTCGCCGTCGGTATCACTGTCAGAATTTCGCTACCTTTTCGGCATCCGACATCTCCTATTCGGCAACCCTTCCACTCTTCCCGCCCTTTCTAGCCACCTGCCTGCCAACAACCGCCCCCAGTCACCGGATTTGCGCCTCCTGCCCTTTCAAGTTCCCCAATCATGTGGCTGCTTCCATCGCAGTCGTGTGACAAACCCCCCACCCCAACCGATGAACTCCACGATATGCACTAGTTGCCCGTTGCCTCCCCTCCACTGCTACTGTCGCCACTCCCGCTAGCTTCCTTGAGGTTTGATTTGGTTGTTGTTTTGAGTTGAGATTGGAGATTGGATTTTGATTTGTAGTGGAGATTGGAGGTTGATTATTGTTGATTTGCAGTATTGGATTTGTTTTTAAGACAACCCATAGCCACCACTTGTTGTCAGCAACCTCCACCCTCACCTTTCGCCTACCACAGCCACCACTACAACCTGCCCTGCAACTTTTTGATAAAACGTCCCAACTAACCGACTGTGAGCCCAACCATCTCTCTCACCACGCAAGCGAAGCTCGCGTAGTGTGCGCCTGGCCATGCATGATTTGGTCAAAATACGATCTTTGATTTGGATTCAAAGAAGAAAGGATATTTTCATCTTCATAATTAATGTACCATGTCAGATAGAAGTGGAACAAATGGATCGGGTTAGGTGGGTCAACCCTAAACCCAACCCATATCAACCTGGGTTCAACCCGGCTCGGGTATACCCCGTTGGGCAGATTGAACCTTCGTAAGCCAACTTGGTGACCTGGTGGGTTATATTTCCATCCAACCCGCTGGTTTGGGGGTTTTCAACTAGCAGGTGAACTTAGCAGGTTGGACAAAACAAATGTAAAAAAAATTAAATTGAATTTTTTTTTGCAAAAACTCATTTTACCCTTGAAATATAGTCGTTTAATAGCAATTAGAGAGGTCTTTTTGGTTATTTTCTTTCCCTTTTTTTTAATAAATAGGGTTTAAACTCTCATATTTCCTCACATCTCAAATTCTCTTATTTTCTTTATTAAAATCTCTCAATCTCTTTGTTGTCAATTTGCTCTTATTTTATTTTTTATTAGTTTTTGTAATTTTCAATTCATATTTCCAAATTTCAATTCTCCTTCTTTAATTCATTATTTCTTCTATATCCAATTTTTTTGTTTTAACTAGAATCAATAAATATTTCCATCCTATCAATTTCGATGATGAAGAAAATTATCCTAGTCCCCTTGAATTTACTAACGTAAATGCAGTAGATTCAAATAGTCCCGTTTCCTATTCTCATAATCTGATACACCTCATAATATTCTCCCCCTTCCTCCTCATGCTACTACAACTCCCAGTGGTTCTAGAAGTCGTCCTCGTAATCGTCGTCCTTATCAAACTCCATCTCAAGCAGAAGCGGGTTCATCAACTGCAGTTGGAATCAACGATAAGCACATGTCAGACGTTTGGGTGTATTTCGATAAGTTTTATGAGATAGAAAATAGAGTTCAAGTGAAGAAATCAAGATGCAAGTATTGTGGAAATATTTATAAAGCTGATGCAGATAATAGTACTAGTACTTTAAAAAGACATGTTAGTAAACATATTAATCAACATGGAAATAGAGAAACCAATAAAACTCAAATAACTAATATTGGTACTACTTGGCATTATAATTATGATGTATTTAGGGAACAATTAACTTTATATATTGCTGCAACTAATCAACCTATTAATATGGCTGAAGATAAATATTTTAAAAGATTTATTAAAAATTCATTTTTTCCAGGATTTAAAAGTTATTCTAAAACTACAACTAGAAATGATTTAATAAAATTGTTCGGGAAAATGAAATTAAAATTAAGAAATAAAATATATAGTTGTCATGTTAGTGTGGCTCTAACCGTCGATATTTAGAGTGATAGAACCAAACAAGATTATATTTGTGTGACTAGTCATTATTTTGATAACGAATGTAAATTAAATAAATTTTTATTGGGATTTAGATTAATTAATGTGGATCATAGTGGTCAACAAATTTATATTAAAATTATTGAAGTTTTAGAAGATTATGATATTGTTCACAAAGTGATAAGTTTAACTTTAGATAATACAAGTGCTAACAGTATAGCTATATATTTTTTTTAAATAAATTTTCTTTTTTATGACAATTTGAAGTTTTTTCACCAACATTGTGCATGTCACATTATTAATTTAATTATGAAAAGTGGTATGAAAAAATTAGAAATAATATTGATAGAATTAGAGATTTTTAGTTTAGATTACTAGTAGTAATAGAATAAATACTAAATTTCAAGATGCTTGTATAAAATCAAATATGTCTCTTAGAACTTTTGCATTAGACATGCCTATTAGATGAAATAGTAATTATTTAATACTTGATTCATGTTTACCTTATGCAAATTTAATTAGTTATTTTGTAGCAAATAAATGGGGTCTTCATTATTTGGTAGATAGTGATTGACCTATAACTCAAAAATTTCATTATTTTCTTAAATTTTTTTATCAATCCACTTTAAAACTTTCTGATGTGTATTATTCTACTAGTCCATTGGTAATACATACAATTATAAAAATTTCAGATTTATTTAACAAAAACAAAAACAATGAAATTTTAGTGGGACCAATACAGGCAATAGAATTAAAATTTAAAAAATATTGGAAACCCATTCCTTTTCTTTTTTGTTTAGCTGCCATATTTGATCTTAGAATTAAATTAGCACTTTTAGAAAATGGTTTAGACACGTTAAGTGAAAATTTACGAGACGAAGCATATGCCACTCAACTAGGAGAGATAAGACAGTGTCTTGCAGAGGTATATTTGCAATATAAAAATAGGTATGAGAACTAGTGAAGAGGTGAAATACCTGAGGAAGTAGCATTGGAAGCAACAAATGAAGACTTCAACTCTTGGAGTGCACTTAATAGGCCTAAGAAGACTCAAACCCGAAGCATAGCCTCCTCTTCAGAAGCATCAACAATGAATATACTGTCCTCCATGCAGCTACAGAGAAATGAGCTTCACTGATATTTGGGAACCCCCGACGTGCTACCAGCAGATCCATAACAAAGAGCCAATTTTGATGTCTTAGAATATTGGAAAACCAGAAAATGTATTTTTTCCGGTATTATCAAGACTTGCCGTGGATGTTTTCTTTGTTCCTGTCTCAACTGTCTCATCCGAACAAACATTTAGTGCAAGTGGAAGAATTTTAAATGATAAGAGGATTAAACTTTCACCAAAATTGATTGAAGTCCTCACATATCTTCGAGATTGGGAACAGTCGTGTCATTAGGATCAATACGAGGTTGTCAACAATACTTTAATAGAATCATTTCAATTTTGTAATTTATATGATATAGATGAGGGAGGTCCTAGTCAACCCTCAAATTAGTTGTTTTGTAAATTGTAAATTAACTGTCAATTATTGCACTCTTTATTTCTTACCAAGTTTTTGTCCTAATTGAGTTTTTCTTGGTAAGGATTTAACAAGGCAATAACTGTTGTAATTTCTTATTTTATTTTTTGATAAATGAATAAATATATTTTTTCTTATATTACAATTTAATTGTATTAAAATTGAATTAATATTTGGAATGTTAACAAAAAAAAATAATTTAATTGAATTATTGATATTTGAAAAGTTAGGTAAAAAAATTACACAAAAAAAAAAAAAAAAACCGGCGTACCAGTGGCGGATTTAATTGATGATGAGTGGGGACCAACTTTAAAAAATTTCAGATTTTATATATATTTATATTTATTTGGACCAACTTTAAAAAATTTCAGATTTTATATATATTTATATTTATTTGCATTTTGGCCCCTATAAGACTTTGACATTTTGCCCCCTATAGAACTTTGACTTTTTGGGAAAAGAATAGATTTTGTTTTTTATTTTTGAACTCTTACCAGTTACCAGAACAACAACGCACGCCAAGAACCTCTCTTCCCTCTTTCTTTCATGGTGCAGGTGCTCTAAAGACTAAACTCTCAAGTCTCTCTCATCGAACTCTCCTTCCAAGTCTCAACCAACACTACTTTTCATCAATTTATCAAAAAGTCATGTCCTTAATCTTAAATCCCTAATTTTATCTATTCAATCGATGTTTTACAGTTTTAGAACTTTTGTTATTGCATTCTTTCAATAAAATTGAGTATTATATATTCATAATTTGAGATTTGAAGTATAACTAAACCATAGTCGTTGAAGGGGCCCTTACCATTTAGCCAATGCGGCAATGTCTAGACATCCCCACGCCTACTTGTGAATTTTGAGAGACAAGGGTATTCCTTTAAACCTATTGGCAACCCACACTAGCTGACACCAGCCATCAGAAGTCTCTCTGCAGACTGCAATACCTTTCTCTTGTTGTTTCTCCCTTATAGTAAAATATTCCTAAGAAGCAATATGTCCCAATTAGAGACCAAGAGTAGTGTCAAAGAATCCAAGCCTGAATTTCCCATATAGTATAATATTCTTAATTGAATGATTTTAAAAGATAATGTTATCCATAAATCAAATTGAATGATTTAGTGATGATATCTTTATGTTCATGAGATGACAATGAATTATGTGGTTGTTTATAATTAGGTTGTTTGTTGTTAATTATTGTTTATGTTTAGTAAAAAAACTGCACAAAATATAAAAACAATAAAATAATTTAAAAAAAAAAACCTATCCTTTTGCTGTATCAAATAAATTATAAGTTATATGGTTTGTGGTCCCTTATGTTTGTTTCTGGTTTGTGGTCCCTTGATGTTGGTTTGTGGTGCCTTGATGTTTTCTTTATTGATTCTCTAATGTTTGTAAGGCCATAACATGTTTATTGTTAAACAAAGTACAAACCAGTTTCAAATATTTTTTCTTGTTGCAGGGAGATCTTTGTCTACTCTTGAAAAGCTTGAAAAGAAAATGAGCGTTGAAACAATCCACAGCTGTGAGAATACTTGATACATATAACAGAACATTGGCACAAATAAATAAAAACATAATCCAGGGACCATAAAACACAAAAAATGGCAAAAGGCTATTGACTTGCATTAAATAAAATACACAAGATTTTTTCAAAACCTCAATGCTCTCTTTTGCCTTCTTCTTGAACTCAATGCAAATGTGCAATTGAAAGTTATACCAAAAGATGCAACAATGATAACAAGTTTATGTTACAAAAACTTATTATCAACATAAACAACAAAAACTTATTACAAAAGCTTACTAAAACTTATTATTAACATAAACAACTAATTATTTCTAGAACTTATTACAAAAACTTATTATCAATTACAAAAACTTAAAAGATGCATATTTAAGATTTTTAATCAAGCACAATGAAAAAAAAGGACAAAAAAATATTAGTTCTTTGTTGACAATATCAAAAACTTTTTAAACATAAAAAAACTAATTATTTATTGTTTGTAAAGATTAGTTGAGAAATCATTGTCTATGTATCTTTTCTTTCATCCTTATTAAATTACTTGACTAAATCAAATTTTATAAAAAGAGTTGACTTCTTTTTTCTATAAATATGCATGATTCATGTTAAATGAGTATAAAAGGAATTTAAACTCACAAAATATTATATTCGTATTGTCTTTCCATTACTACGTATGTAATTCACTATGAGTTACTATGTATGTCTTATTGTCTTTCCATTACTATATATGTAAATCACTATAGGTTATTATTCTTGTACAATTTCTTATTATTTTATTTGTTTAAACTTCTTATTAGGTATGCAATATGGATAAATTTCTCAAAAGAAAATCAGCAATAGACCAATCATCCTCATCCGTTTAAGAAAGTAAAGCCAATAATAAAGAAAATGATCCATTAAAAGAAAGTCATGTAGAACTAGAAGTCATCTTGAAAGATCTTCCATATATCTGATCCAACTCTACGGCCTAAAATCAATTATTATCATCCTAATTATAGGGATGCAATTCGAAGATTTTACTTACAAAAGAGTTATTGCCAGCCTCGAAATCATGCATTTCCATTGACAAAATTTGGAAAAGGATATCGTCGATTTAATCCTACTTGGTTTGATGTGTATAGCGATTGGCTTGAGTATAGTGTGACCAAAGATGATGCATTCTGTTTGTATTGTTACTTTTTAGACTTGCCCTTATAAGCCAAGTTGGTAGTGATGATTTCATTAGTGAGGAATTTTATAATTAGAAGAAACCAGAACGCTTTCAAATTCATGTTGCACAGCCAAATATTGCTCACAACCAAGCACGACAGAGTTGTGTGAATTTAATGAATCAAAAGCAACATATCAAAGTGGCTCTATCTAAGCAATCAGATCAAGTTAGGACTGAATACCAAACTCGCTTGACTACATCCATTGTTAGCATTAGATTTCTTTTGTGTCAATGGTTGGTATTTCGTGGTCATGATGAAACAAAAGACTCGAAGAACCAAGGTAACTTTCTCAGACTTCTTCATTTTCTAGCTCAAGATAATGAACATTTTAAGAGTGTTGTTTTGAAGAATGCACTTGGGAATCTTAAATTGTTAGCACCAGTGATTCAAAAAGATATTGTGAATGTTACGGCAAATGAAACCACAAAAGCTATCATTAGTGATCTCAGAGATGACATATTTTCAGTTTTGATTGATGAGTCTCGTGATTTGTCAATTAAAGCACAAATGGCTATTGCCATACGTTATGTAGATAAAAAGGGTCATGTACTTGAGCGATTTCTTGGCATTGTACATGTTAGTGACACAACTACAGTATCGCTTAAGATGGCTCTTGAGTCATTATTTTGTTATCATGGATTTATTTTGTCAAGATTACATGGACAAGGTTATGATGGGGCAAGTAATATGCAACGAGAATTTAATGGTTTGAAAAGTTTGATTTTGAGGGAGAATGAATATGCTTATTATGTTCACTGTTTTGCTCACCAACTTTAGTTGACACTAGTAGCCGTTGCAAAAAATCACATTTCTGTTGCTTCGTTTTTCGACTTGGTTACTAATTTGATAAATGTTGTTGGAGGTTCATGCAAGCGTCGAGACATGCTTCGGGAGAGACAAGTTAATAAACTTGTTGAACCACTAGAAATTGGTGAAGTTAGCAAGAGACGAGGTTTGAATCAAGAGACACGTCTAAAACGAGCTGGTGATACACGTTAGGGCTCATATTATTATACATTGATCAACTTAATCCTTTTGTTATCCTCTGTGGGTGATGTGCTTGAGGTTATTAAAGAAGATGGTTTAAATCCTGAACAAATGGGTGAAGCATGTAATCTATTAGATTTGATATATTCCTTTGATTTTGCATTTAACTTACATATGATGAAAAATATATTGGCAATTACTATTGAATTGTCACAAGTGTTGTAGAGAAAAGATCAATACATTGTAAATGCTATGGCCCTAGTCAAAGTTTCCAAACAACAATTACAATTGTTGAGAGATGAAGGATTGGAATCTTTGTTGAGTGAAGTTTCTTCACTATGCCAAAAGCATGATATTGCCATTTTGAATATGGATGGTATGTTTGCAATTCTAGGGCGGCCACAATGGAGAGTTGAGCACATGACAAATTTGCATCTCTATCGAGTTGAATTTTTTTATACTGTAATAGATATGCAACTTCAAGAACTTAACACTCATTTCACAGAGGTTAGTACTGAGCTGCTTCTTTGTATGGCATGTTTATATCCAAGTAATTCATTTTCTACTTTTGACAAGCATAAGTTGATCCGTTTTGCCCAGTTTTATCCATTTGATTTTTCTGTGTTTGAGTTGATGGTACTTGAGAAACAAGCTGAGACTTATGTTATTGACATGTGTTTTTGTGATGAATTTGCTAAGTTACAAGAAATTGGTGATTTGGCTAAGAATTTAGTTTGGTTTAAAAAAGACATTTTGTATCCATTGGTGTATAGGCTTGTGAAACTTGCATTGGTTTTACCAGTTGCGACTGTGACCGTTGAAAGAGGTTTTTCTACAATGAATCTTGTGAAAAGTCAGTTACGAAATCGAATGGGAGATCAATGGATGAATGATTGTTTGGTCACCTATATTGAGAAAGATGTATTTGATACAACTGACGATGAGATGATTATCCAACGTTTTCAGAATATGAAAACTTGTCAAGGACAATTATAGAAAAATTGTGTTTTTTTAAGATATGTATTTGTATTTTGTAACTTTCTGTTGAAGCTCATCCTAATGCAAAAAAAAAAAAAAAAGTATGGTTATGATTGGTTTAAATTTTTTTTTTTTTTTTTTTTGTTTATTTTTTGCCCTCATCGAGTGAAATTCTTGAATCCGCCACTGCAGCCCGCACAAAAACCCGCCAAGTTACGGTTGACGGGCTGGGCTGGACCAACCCTTCTGGCCAAAGAGGTGGGTTGAGTTAGGCCCGACCTGCAATTTTTCTTAAACCATCACGAGCCAGGCCAGGCAGGTTATTTTTCCACCTTTAATGTTAGATAACGAATTTTATTAACCGATCTTAATAGCGGGTGGATAATTGTTGTACATATACTAACGATGGGTGGATAATTATCGTTTTCAAAGTTTATATATTGTGGAATAATTATTAACTTATGATACTAAATCTAAACATTATGAAAGTGAAGGTTTTACTATCAATAATACCTCTTCCTGGGCTTTCCTATGGGCCAAATTTGGGCCACAAAATAAGTAAAAGGCCTGATGTAGATAAACCCATATTTGTTTCAAAAGCTTGAATAGGCCCATCATACCAAAATATAGAGGCAGAAGAGGGGTCCGTGAAGAGCTTGAAGAATAATTAATTAATAAAGGCAGCCACGTCAGCCAGGGGAGAGAAAAAGGCCTGCCAAGTCAGCATAGATTCAATAAAAATGTGAATGCAAAACAGTGAGATTTAAGAAGCTAACAAGAGTTTCCCTCGTATTATATAAAAAAATATATATTTCGATTATCTCTGCATATGTCTTCAATTAATATTTTTTGTTTTTCTTGATCCAACAACCACCACCATAATTATGTTTTTTGAGATTATTATTTATGTGTTAGAATTTTATTGACTTGCATATATGGACGATGTACCACATCGGAAGTGTAGTAGGCTTTTTTATTAAATTAATACCTTGAAAGAGTTCATTCATCATTCCAATAATTACCTAAAATTTTTCTTTGTAGGTCTCTCTAAATTTCCTTGCATTTCGATCACTTTCACATCAACCAAATACATTTCTTGAAAGAAAGCTAGAAAAATTAGTAAAGCGAATCTCTTACTCTTTGACTATAAAATTGTTAAAAGCAAACAATAATACGATGCATACAAAGTAATTAAGATAGCAACTTTAGATCTTAACTAACATATCAATTCATTTAATAAACACCTCCTTAATTATAAGATGGTGAGATAAGTGATGTAACATGTCAAATCAATTAACAATCTATACTGTGTTCATATATAACATGGGTAAGTATTTAATAGTTATATTTTACAAATTAAGAGGTCCTAAGGGTATTTCTCCAAACCTTAGGGGAGTAATTTTAACCAGGTAGGCATTGGGTTTGTTGCTTTTGCCTTTAAGAACCAGACGGTTTCATGCTTTTACCTTTAGAAACCAGACGGTTTCATGTGAAAAGAAAAAAACCCGGCCTGGGCCCAAGGTGTCCCAATAGGTATATAAAAAACTTGGGCTTGGGCCTGGAAAATGAGGCGCAAGGTATACCCAAGCCAGGCCTGGGTTATGCTAGTAAAGTCGAGACTCAAATACATTACCATATTATATAAGATCGATAAAATTACATATAGCCCTCTATGTAAAATTACAAAACCGCCTAAAAATTTCACAAGCCCACTTTAAAAGCTCCCTTAAATCACATTTAACTACCTTCTTTAATGTAAAAGTCCTAATAACCCCCTACAAATCACATCTAGTCCCTACGTAGAAGATAAAATTATAAAAAACTCTTTGTTCATATTAACCAAACCCGAGCCTAAAGTCTGATGTGTCCGGCCCGGGTTTAGAAAACCCGGTCCTTTTCCTGGGCCTGGGCTTTAGATTTAAAAAAAAAAAACCGGGCTCGAGGTTTTTACATCCCTAGCATTCTTTTAGTCTTTTTCCAAACAAAAATTCTAGTAAAAAAAGCACATACCCACGAGCCATAACATTAGTGCGGGGCCTTCCCTTTGTCTTTTAAAACCATACGAAGTTCAGAGAATCATGTCAAAAAGACAAAAACTCTTCAACTTACAACAAAAGAGACCCCATCTTTTCTTTGGTTTACCATTACTGCTTCTAGCTTTCCCACGGCAAACGCTTTTGCTCACAGAAACTTACGAAAATGACGTCCAACAACAAGGTTTCCAACTTCTTCAAACAATATCTTCCAAAACATGGCAAGGATGGACTGGTATGTAAAAAAAGAAAGCACTTTTTTTCATTAGCTCTCTTTTGTTTCAACTATTTTGAGTTTGTTTCCTTTTTGGGTTCCTTTGTTTTGAGATTTTTTTTGGCATGCATTGTAAAAAGTTTTGTTGTTTACTCTTTTTGTATCTATTGAAAAGATGATGAAATTTTTTGTTCTTTATTGTTTTCTTGTTGATGGGTTGCAAAATTAGAAGCGAAAAGTTGATGAAGTTGTTAACTTTGTAAGCTCTAAGCTCTGTTTCTCTTGAATGGAGTACTTGAAGCCTTGTTTTGTCCATACCTGTAAGATGATCTGATATGATTTCAGTTTAGAAAATTAACAAGGAAATTGAAGTTCATTTTATGTATAGATTTTAGGATTTGATGTGTAATGTAGAAATTGACAGAGAATTAGATGAAATAAAGTTTGGAGTTAGTTTGCTTTAGGCCAATGTCCAAGGATCATTTTATGCCAAATCCTTTTTATCTTTGCTGTTTACACTTCACACACAGCAATGTAAATAATAGTGAATGAACATTTTGTGGTGATACAGAGGAAGTTTTACTCCTTCTCTTGTTATATTTTTATGATTTGTGCTCGGAAAGTTGTTGATTTGTTCTACTTGTGCTGTAGGGAATCCCGGATGCATTTGTGGAACATTTGAATGGATCTCCTAAAAAGGCCGTGCTTCGGAATTGGATGGGAGAAATTTGGTATGTGGAGATAGGTTATACTGATGCTGAGGTATTGTTTCTGAAGGGTTGGCATAAGTTTGTCAATGACAATTCTGTATAGCCAGGAGATTGTTTGGTTTTTCAGATTTAGGAGTTGAGATAGCAAGACGTTCAAGTGGGTTTAATGGGTAGATGTAGGAGTTGAATAATGGATTTAGTGGGTTGATTTTGGTTTATAAATTGTTTAGTTTTTTTATATTTGTAGAGTGTCATGCTATATCAACTTAAATTTTTAACTTAATATAGTTGAAAGTGTTGACATGATTACATAAAGAAGCAGATTTAACAATTTTATCTTTTTGATGTTATGATTGGCATTTTATGACTGATAAGTTACTAATTTCTTCTGTTAGAAATCCCAGATGCATTCGTGGAATGCTTGAATGGATTTCTGAAGAAGGCTCTGCTTCGAAATTGAATGGGAAAGCTGTGGCATGTGGAGATAGATTATACTGATAATGGGGTGTGTTTTCTAAATGGGTGGCAGAAGTTTGTTGAAGATACGGTAGTGATCAAAGTTTTGATGTTGAAGATCTTTGGGAAATCGGCATGTGAGAAGAGAGAAATAAATAGCAATGCTGGCATTGATGTAGAGGTTAAGAGGAAGGAGGATGATGTTATTGATGTTGATGATGATAAAAGTGATGATTTTATTGCAAATGAGGAGGAGAATATAGAAGAAGGAGAAGAAGCAAGTATGAATCACCGAGCAAAACGATCAGCAGAAATAAAGGTAAAGATAATACAATTCTTCCCTTGTTCATTTGAATTTACTCTGTGCATGGCTGAATCTCATAGAGACATGTGATCGTATTTGTGTGCGATAAATATAATCTAGGGGTTAATTTGATTTAGGAGGAATATCCACAAAAAGGGCTGTTGTTGAACCTGGAGCAAATGTGACATCAGAAATCACTTTCAGATGCAAAATCCTTTCTTCGTGTCAAAATTAAGAAAGGGCCACAGGAACAAATTTGTAATGATCTCAATTCATCTGTAACCAATGCTATGGTTATAATTACTTGTGATTTTACGTGCCATCCTTCTTTTTTCGTGGGCTTCTTTCAACTGGAACATGTCATGTTCTGCTTGAAACTCAAAACAATTGGTCTGAAATGAATTGAAATTTATTGGGGTCACACCATGAATGCTATCTTCCTTATTATACAGTATGTTTGCTTATGGTAGAAGTCTCTCTCATGCAGCATGTTCCATCACGTCTTGAAAGAATTTGGATTAAAATTAGCCGAAATCATTGCCTTTCATGACAAGCACAGGCAAATATGGCCTGGAAAGGTTGTGCATTCCTTGGGTGGTCGAACATTGATCAATGGGTGGAGAGCTTTTAGTAGGTGGAACAATGTGGACAAAGATGATCTTTGTATTTGTGAATTTCCGACAACAGAGGGGGAAGAGAGAGATATCATAGAGGTGCATATTGCCCGGGGATGTGGTTCAAGAAGCCGAACCAGAACCGATCCAAATTGAACCTTTGCATTTAGCCTTAGTAAACTTTTCTATGTCAAAATGAGTTTATGTTATGTATATGATATGTTCTTAAGAACTAAAAGTAGACAATGAACCGACTTTAGTGTGTTTCTGTAGGTGAATGTTTTCTTATGCATTCCTCTTAAATCTGTGTCTGCCTTGAAACAAAGAGTAATGCTATACTTACAAAAACATTTTATAAAGATTTTTATACAAAATAATGTGATAAAAAAATGAATGAAAGAGTGAATTTAATGAGTTTTATTTTTTGTTTCACTTTTTCATTCATTTTTTGTCACCTCATTTTGTATAAAAATCTTTGTAAGTATAGTATTATTGTGAAAGAAATTCAAAGAACACCGAATCTGCTTTTGTAAGTAGATGGTTTTGTTATGGTAAAATGATTAGTGTGTTTGGATACATTTTAATGTTGTTAATCAAATTGTGCGACATCAAATTACCTAACATATTCAATAATGATATGGCTTAATTTGCACAATAATGCAAATAATGCAAATTGAAAATATACTAAAATCAGTAAAATGTGTTTGAATTTACGGTTCACCATCTATTTTCTAAGTTATAAAACAAAATAGTGCTTTTCATTAATAAAAATGTTATATCCACCAAAAAGTTGCATCGAAAAATTGCACCAAAACACGTGGAGACAGTCACGTTAGATGATTGAATACTGACATAAATGGACGGCCGGCTATCTATACATCCCGGACGGTCGTTCATAGTATTATGGACGACCACCCATAAAAAGTCGTGTTGTTTTTTAAAAAAAAAATAATAATAGACGTCCGTCCATCATATAACATTGATATCTTTTTGTATGACAAAGTGATATATGAATTTTAATATTAGATATATAAAATTTTTGTACATATTTCTTATACAATTTCTACAAATTGATGTATGACAAAGTGAATATATGTATATAAAGTTAATTCAATAAATACTAATTTAAAAAAAAAAAATTGTGATAATAAAATAGTTTTACCACATCAATTTATATACAAAAATTTGTATAATCTGTACATAAATAGCATCACATATAATTTAGCAAAATCTCATGATTTTATATCACTTGTTAATATTTAATATCTTTTTTTTTGTAAGTTAATTAATATCAGAAATGTCAGATTCTTTACTAGTTTTTAGAAAAAAGAAAAAAAAAAAAAAAAAAAAAAGGAAAAGGAAAAGTCAAAAAGAGTTAGCGACATGTTCCCATCCAAAAGAAGAAAGAGTTAATTAAGTATGGACATGGACGGCCTCTATACTTAATAGACGGACGTATGACCGTTCATTCGACTGTCTATATTTAAAGGACGTCTATCCATAATTTATGGACGAGTATTCATATATTTTTTATTTTTATTTCTAAACCAAATTATGAATGGGGTCCACTCTATACGGAGGAGCGTCCCTTATTTACAGACGCTCGTCCAAAATTAAGGGACAAGCGTTCATTAACATATGAGCGTCCGTCCAACCGTTAAAAACCTATGAATGATCGTTTCTAATTTTTTTAATATTTTTTATTTCATTTACCAATGGACAACTTTTAAATAAGGACGCACATCTATGATAAATGAACTTCTGTCCATATAATATGGATGGGAGGCCATGTTAATAAACAGCGGTCCATTGTTATGGACCGTCGTTTATTAGAAAAAAATTATTAATATAAAATACGTTAAATGATCTGAGTCTGTAAACTGGTACAAAATTTTGGTGTAAAAACACCGGTGTTTATAGCATTGTTGTTTCATTAAAGCACTTCTCTATTCGCCAAACAGACATCAACCCATTAACCTCTAACAATAAGCCAACTCAACAATGCGGGCCCTCGGTTTTGTCCTTTGTCAAAACCATAGATGTTTCAGATTTTCATAAAAATATGTATCTGCCCAAATCAAAGCACAAGAAGGTAACCCATTATTTCTTATATTAATGACTGCTCCTTGGCTTAAAAGAACTCGTCATTTTACTTCTTCAAGAAGCTAGCTCTACCTTTGCTTCTGCAGTTCTGCTCACAAACACAGAGAGAAAGAAATGGCGTCCAAAACAAACAACAAGGGAGTAGCTCATTTCTTCAAACAGTTTCTTCCAAAGCATGGCTATGATGGATTTGTAATCTCTTTAGCTCTTTCTATTTTTTTTTTTTTCATTTATTTGGGTTCGTTTGTTTGTTTGTTTTGTGATACATTTTGTATGCATTCAGAAAAGTTTGGTTCTTTACTGTTTTAATGCTGATGGGTTCGGAAAATAAGTGGGAAAAGTGGATAAAATATTGAGCTTTACAAGTATGAACTTTTTTTTTTTTTTTCTGTTGAATGTGATGAAAAGTTTGGTTCTTTACTGTTGATTGGTTGCAAAATGAGTAGTAAAAGTAGATCAAAATGTTATCTTTATAAGCTCTGAGCTTTGTATCCTTTCAACGGAAGGTATTTATTGTATATGAAGTTTGTGTTAGCATAAAATACGATTCTATAATGCGGAATAAATACTTTAAAACAGAATCGAAAAGCTTAATGCCAAAGAAACAGTACCTCCAGCCATTGATGTTCCTCACGGTTTTGCTACGACCTCTCACTGATGTTTGGTACTTCCAAACTCTACTCACTCTCTTTAGATGGTGTAAGACTGAAAGGGATTGAGTGATTGAGTTTGGGGACCAAACTATTGTATTTATAGCCAAAGCTTCCATCAAGCTTCGGCGGCTACGTGTCCCACTTGTTTAGTTTATCATGGGACAGTTCCACGTTCTACGAACGTGATGAATATCCGAGTGGACCACTTCAGGTGCTCCTAAAATGAAGGGGAGTGGAGACTCGTTCTTACGAACAGCCTTCGTGAGAAACGGTCAACATTATCCCACTTGGTCTACACATCTTAAACCCATCGATAATCTGTATTTAAGTAATAAATACATGAATCATGGCTATAGGTCCTCTCATGACGAGTATTACCTTTCATGTATTACTATGTATTTATTTCTTAAACATTATAATTTATGTGGTAACAATTTCTTAATGAATAAACCCTATGTTTATTCTTGGTCCAACATAGATGAATTTTCTCAAAATTAAATTAAGGTGCACATCAATATGAGAAAAACATCAAAATAATTAAGAATTTCAGTAAAATAACATTGTTCATACAATGAAAAATTACATAATGGAACCAAGTCCCATATTCACTACATGATCCTTGAATTTCAACAGTGGCATGCCCTTTGTCAAAGGATCAACGATCATTAGCTCAGTGCTGACGTGCTCGATGACCACTTTCTTTTCTTTAACACGTTCCGTTATGACTAAATACTTAATGTCAATGTGTTTACTCCGACTCCCACTTTTGTTGTTTTTAGCCATAAAAACAGCAGCTGAATTGTCGCAGTACATTCTCAAAGGCTTAGAGACAAAATCCATAATTCTAAGCCCAGAAATGAAACTCTTAAGCCATACACCATGTGAAGTAGCCTCAAAACAAGAGACGAACTGGGCTTCCATAGTGGAAGTTGCAGTGAAAGTCTGCTTGGCACTCCTCCATGATACAGCTCCACTGGCCATCAGAAAAATGTATCCTGATGTTGATTTGCGTGAATCAATACAACCAGTAAAGTCAGAATATGAGTAGCCAATTACTTCCAGATTGTCTGTCCGTCTATACATAAGCATGTAGTCTTTGGTTCCTTGAAGGTACCTCATTACTTTCTTTGCAGCTCTCCAGTGGTCTAAACCTAGATTACTCTGATATCATCTCAACATTCCCACAGCAAATGCAATGTTAGGTCTTATATAGAATTAAGCATACATTAGGCTTCTAATAGCAGAAGCATATGGAATGTTCTTCATTTGTTCCCTTTCAAGGTCGTTCTTCGGGCATTGTTTCAAATTGAACCTATCACCCTTCACAATGGGAGCTACACTTGGTGAACAATCCTTCATCCGAAATCTCTCTAAAACTTTATTAATATAGGTTTCCTGAGACAGACCCAAAATACATCGAAATCTGTCTCTATGGATCTTAATCCCAATGACATAAGATGCGTCACCCATATCCTTCATATCAAAATTCTTAGAGAGGAATTGTTTCACCTCATGCAGCAAACCCTTATCATTGGTTGCTAGCAAAATGTCATCCACATATAAAACAAGAAAACACATTTTACTCCCACTAACCTTTTGGTATATACATTGATCCATAATGTTTTCTACAAATCCGAATGAAGAAATTACATTATCGAATTTCAAATACCATGGCAGGATGCTTGTTTTAAACCGTATATGGATTTCTTGAGCTTGCAAACCAATTGCTCACCATCACTAGAAGGGAATCCTTTAGGTTGTTTCATGTAAACCTCCTCCTTTAGATCTCCATTGAGAAATGCCGTTTTCACATCCATTTGTTGCAACTCTAAGTCAAAATGGGCTACTAATGCCAAAATCACACGCAAAGAATCTTTCTTAGATACAGGAGAGAAAGTCTCTGTGTAAACAAGTCTTGCCTTGTATCTCTCACTGTTGCCCAATGAGTCATTTTTTAGTCTTAAAGACCCATTTACATCCAATGACTTTTACACCATTAGACAACTCAACAAGATCCCAGACTTCGTTACTCTTCATAGAATTCATCTCTTCCTTCATGGCACTGTACCATAATTCTGATTCTTTGCAACTCATGGCTTGTGAAAAGAACTCGGGATCATTTTCGGCTCCAATATTATAGTAAGATTCTTGCAGATACACAACATAATCATTAGGAATTGCTGATCTCCTTGGTCTAGTAGATCTTCTTAATGTTGTATCATCATATTCTGGAGAAGTATATGGTTCAACTCATTGTTCAAAAGTTATTGGCAACTCCTGAACTACCTGATCTACTAGAATGTTGTCAGTAGCTTGTGGAACTTCAATGATTGGTTATTCAATACCAGTTTATACTTGAGGGGTGCTGTAAACAATAACCAATTTATCACTTGAGGTGGAAGGTTGAGATTCGGAATGATCATTCTCAGAAACTATGTTCCTAGTTTGATCGCTCCCACTGATCAAGTCATTTTCAAGAAACTTTGCATTTCTTGATTCCATAATGCTAGTGCTGTGAGATGGACAATAAAATCTGTAACCTTTAGACC